GCAGAACTCAACGAAATCGAGGCCAGAAGAACTGTGGAACAGATCAACAGAACCAGGAGTTGGTTCTTTGAAAGAATTAATAAGATAGATAAACCATTAGCCAGCCTTATTAAAAAGAAGAGAGAGAAGACTCAAATTAATAAAATCATGAATGAGAAAGGAGAGATCACTACCAACACCAAGGAAATACAAACGATTTTAAAAACATATTATGAACAGCTCTACACCAATAAATTAGGCAATCTAGAAGAAATGGATGCATTCCTGGAAAGCCAGAAACTACCAAAACTGGAACAGGAAGAAACAGAAAACCTGAACAGGCCAAAGAGCAGGGAGGAAATTGAAGCAGTCTTCAAAAACCTCCCAAGACACAAAAGTCCAGGGCCAGATGGCTTCCTAGGGGAATTCTATCAAACGTTTAAAGAAGAAATCATACCTATTCTACTAAAGCTGTTTGGAAAGATAGAAAGAGATGGAGTACTTCCAAATTTGTTCTATGAGGCCAGCATCACCTTAATTCCAAAACCAGACAAAGACCCCACCAAAAAGGAGAATTACAGACCTATATCCCTGATGAACATGGATGCAAAAATTCTCAACAAGATACTAGCCAATAGGATCCAATCTCTCTCTCTCTCTCTCTCTCTCTCTCTCTCTCTCTTTGTGTGTGTGTGTGACTATCATTAAAAAAAAAAGGATCCAACAACACATTAAGAAAATTATTCACCACAACCAAGTAGGATTTATCCCCGGGACACAAGGCTGGTTCAACACTCGTAAAACAATCTATGTGATTCATCATATCAGGAAGAGAAAAACCAAGAACCACGTGATCCTCTCATTAGATGCAGAGAAAGCATTTGACAAAATACAGCATCCATTCCTGATCAAAACTCTTCAGAGTGTAGGGATAGAGGGAACTTTCCTCGACGTCTTAAAAGCCATCTACGAAAAGCCCAGAGCAAATATCATTCTCAATGGGGAAGCACTGGGAGCCTTTCCCCTAAGATCAGGAACAAGACAGGGATGTCCACTCTCACCACTGCTTTTCAACATAGTACTGGAAGTCCTAGCCTCAGCAATCAGACAACAAAAAGACATTAAAGGCATTCAAATTGGCAAAGAGGAATTCAAACTCTCCCTCTTCGCCGATGACATAATACTTTACATAGAAAACCCAAAAGCCTCCACCTCAAGATTGCTAGAACTCATACAGCAATTTAGTAGTGTGACAGGATACAAAATCAATGCCCAGAAATCAATGGCATTTCTATACACTAACAATGAGACTGAAGAAAAGAAATTAAGGAGTCAATCCCATTTACAATTGCACCCAAAAGCATAAGATACCTAGGAATAAACCTAACCAAAGAGGTAAAGGATCTATACCCTAAAAACTATAGAACACTTCTGAAAGAAATTGAGGAAGACACAAAGAGATGGAAAAATATTCCATGCTCATGGATTGGCAGAGTTAATATTGTGAAAATGTCAATGTTACCCAGGGCAATTTACACATTTAATGCAATCCCTATCAAAATACCATGGACTTTCTTCAGAGAGTTAGAACAAATTATTTTAAGATTTGTGTGCTGTCAGAAAAGACCCTGAATAGCCAGGGGAATTTTTAAAAAGAAAACCGTAGCTGGGGGCATCACAATGCCAGATTTCAGGTTGTACTACAAAGCTGTGGTCATCAAGACAGTGTGGTACTGGCACAAAAACAGACACATAGACCTGTGGAACAGAATAGAGAACCCAGAAGTGGACCCTGAACTTTATGGTCAACTAATATTCGATAAAGGAGGAAAGACTATCCACTGGAAGAAAGACAGTCTCTTCAATAAATGGTGCTGGGAAAATTGGACATCCACATGCAGAAGAATGAAACTAGACCACCTTGCACCATACACAAAGATAAACTCAAAATGGATGAAAGATGTAAATGTGAGACAAGATGCCATCAAAATCCTAGAGGAGAACACAGGCAGCATCCTTTTTGAACTTGGCCACAGTAACTTTTTGTAAGATACATCCATGAAGGCAAAAGAAACAAAAGCATAAATGAACTATTGGGACTTCATCAAGATAAGAAGCTTTAGCACAGCAAAAGATACAGTCCACAAAACTAAAAGACAACCTACAGAAAGGGAGAAGATATTTGCAAATGACATCTCAGATAAAGGGCTAGTTTCCAAAATCTATAAAGAACTTCTTAAACTCAACACGAAAGAAACAAACAATCCAATCATGAAATGGGCAAAAGACATGAAGAGAAATCTCACAGAGGAAGACATAGACATGGCCAACATGCACATGAGAAAATGCTCTGCATCACTTGCCATCAGGGAAATACAAATCAAAACCACAATGAGATACCACCTCACACCAGTGAGAATGGCGAACATTAACAAGACAGGAAACCACAAATGTTGGAGAGGATGTGGAGAAAAGGTAACCCTCTTACACTGTTGGTGGGAATGTGAACTGGTGCAGCCACTCTGGAAAACTGTGTGGAGGTTCCTCAAAGAGTTAAAAATAGATCTGCCCTACAATCCAGCAATTGCACTGTTGGGGATTTACCCCAGAGATTCGGATGTAATGAAACGCTAGGACACCTGCACCCCAATGTTTCTAGCAGCAATGTCCACAGTAGCCAAACTGTGGAAGGAGCCTCGGTGTCCAACGAAAGATGAATGGATAAAGAAGATGTGGTTTATGTATACAATGGAATATTACTCAGCCATTAGAAATGACAAATACCCACCATTTGCTTCAACGTGGATGGAACTGGAAGGTATTATGCTGAGTGAAGTAAGTCAATCGGAGAAGGACAAACAGTGTATGTTCTCATTCATTTGGGGAATATAAATAATAGTGAAAGGGAATATAAGGGAAGGGAGAGGAAATGTGTGGGAAATATCAGAAAGGGACACAGAACATAAAGTCTCCTAACTCTGGGAAATGAACTAGGGGTGGTGGAATGTGAGGAGGGCGGGGGTGGCGGTGAGTGGGTGATGGGCATGAGGGGGACACTTGACGGGATGAGCACTGGGTGTTATTCTGTATGTTGGTAAATTGAACACCAATAAAAAATTAACTTATAAAAAAAGAAGTTATCATTAAAGCTGATGTTTGGAGCAATTGAAGCAGAGAGAGCATGAACACCCCAGGCTTAGATATAGGTTCAGTTCAGGCAAACCAGGCTTGAAATCCCATCTCCGCCTTTGATTATGTGATCATTGGGAAGTTAAATCAGCTTCTAAGCTGGTTACAATGGTTAAATGAAATATTTGCCTGGTCCAAGGGCGGTAATTGGGGGTTGTTAAGCATATCCTCTGTAGATCTTCCAGTTTCTCTCTAATAATTTGTTTCTATAAAGAAGCATTAAATCATATATATGAAATTAGAAACCCTCTAGATTTGTGCATAGCTCAAAGGCTTCAAGGTAGATTCATGACAAAGTTCCAGTTACTTCTCTCATGCCCGTGACAACTTTACTTAGGGAATCATTTTGTAAACTGGCCTCTTTTACCACATCTTCTAAAAGGCTCCAACCTAGAAACTAGTACACAGGGTATCTAGAAGGCATTAAGTGTGTCATTTCTGGGATTAAAAAAAATCAATGGCTCCTTACTGCTTAAGGAATAAAGTCCATGTTGCTTGGCCTGACGTACGAGGTCCACCTCACCATCCAGTCGCGCCCCTGTGAACACCTTGTGCTGTGCTCCAGGTTTACCCAGGTGCTCCAGGGTGTGCTCCACCAGTATGAGGCATAATAAATAGTTTGATGGAAGAGAGGTTAAAACTCTGTGGATGCTGAATATATGCTGCTTTCATATAGTTTTATAGAATCAAGAGTTTTCCTTTTATTTTTACAGTGCTTTCCATTGCAAGGGAATCCTGAGTAGAAAATAATTTCCAAATAAAAAAAAGAAAATAATTTCCAGAGCTAATTGTCATGAGGAACACTGAGAAAACCCAGTGTCGGTCCTGTGGGTGGGTCTTGGCTTGCAGAGGCCATGTTGTGAATTGCTCTTCTGGCCACACTGGTCACAGTGTTCTCTGACTTCGTGACACAAACTGCACTCCTGGGTGCCATTGCTTAGGCTTTGCTTCTGCCTCCAGTGGCTTTTCCACTTTCCTCACTTTCTCATCTACCATCCTGCAAGATCCTAACTCAAATGTGACCTCTTCCCTGAAGCTTTTCCATCCCCCCAGAAGCTATCACCTCTTGTCTGTGCTTGCTTCATGAATACTGTTCTTCTCACTCTCAATCATTCAACACATGTTTGGATGATAGAGCCATCACATCATCTTGTAATTAGATTATGTGTCAGTCATTAGGCAGGATGCCGACTTTGCAGGACCAATTCGGAAATTTCTTTGTACTTCCAGAGCTTAGTGCAGAAGTGAGCACTAAGCATTAAGATGGAGCAGACCTTCCATCAACGTTGGCTAATTGAGAACTAAGAAACAGAAAATACAGATCAGAGTGCCATGGGCTATGAGAACCACAGCAGAAGACTATAGATGAGTCTGATGAGAGGAACAGGAAGGAAAAGGGCAAGCAGAAGTGGAGAGTCTACTGTAAATCTCCAGAAAGCACATGGACGTTGGAGCCAAAGAACAGATTGTTCTGGCAGAAGTTGCCAGCACCCATTTCCCAGTAGATGCGGGCACCAGGATCCTTCGTCCCCAGTGCATTTCACATTTGTTATCATATCCTTTGGATTCCATCAGCAAAGCCACTAATCACTTTTTAAGTTGACTGCAGAGTGGATATTAAAGGCCAAGGTGTTTGCCAGAAGGAAAAACAAACAGAACCCATGGATGTGTAGGAGCACAAGCTGGTACAAGGCTAAGAAGCCCACATGCCAACAGGGGGAAAGAACAGGGAGATCAGGGTATAAAAGAGACACTCAATCTCCCTCTGTCTGTTCCAACTCTTGGGTGTGCCACTGTGTCCTGTGTGTCTGTGGGCCACTGAAATCAGCACCATGAAGATCCTGGTCTTGGTTTTGGTTTGCCTACACCTCTCAGAGGGTGTGGAAAGGTGTGTATAGGGATTCAGCTTTACAGTGATACTCAGCCCCAAGCTGAGTATCAGAAGCTGGGGTAGAGCAAAGACCTTCCTCTGCAGATCTCATGGAAAAGTGGGCAGATTGTGTCTTGGTACATGAACCCCAAAACCACAGGGACCAAAGACTTAAAATGGATGATGATGATGATGATGATGATGATGATGAGTGTATGTAGGTGTGTGTGTGTGGTGTGTGTGTATGTTTTTAAAGGTACGTTGGTGTTTTGTTGGCTAAGAAAGAGGGATACAGGGCTCATGTCTCAAGTTCATAGGAGGGACTTTGGATAAACAGAAATTTATTCCTTGGAAACAATATGCAAGCAGGAAACCCCAAATATACCTTGTAGTGGATTTTCAGGCTAGGAATGCTGCTGGAAATGCTGGAGTGACTGCAGTGGTCAGAACTCACTAAAATCCAGGAGGATTTCTCATAAGAGGCTCTTCTAAGAGGACTAGGGAGGTTTGAAAACTCCACATCAGGTCATTGAAGGGAGTGCTATAATGGGGAAGGTGAAGCTCACTCGTTTTGTTTGCCTATTCTCCACAGAATTATCCTGAAGAAAGGCAAGTCCATCCGCCAGGTGATGGAAGAGCGGGGTGTCCTAGAGACATTCCTGAGGAACCACCCAAAGGTTGACCCAGCTGCCAAGTATCTTTTCAATAATGATGCTGTTGCTTATGAGCCCTTCACCAACTACCTGGATGTAAGTGAAGGGGGAGGTTGTGTCCATAACCTTTGGCTAATAAGCACTCTTGATACCTATTTAGACCTCCCATTAGCTCTGATTTTGGTCTTTTTACTAAACCTATGTCTCACTTCCTATGGAAAGTATCTGGATAATGAGTTGGTACCATCTGACACTATAGTATTTCCTTTCCTTCCTTCTTTCCTCTCATTACTGGCTCACTCTCTAAAGCTCTCTTTATATGGTTAAGAGATTCACAGTGACATATTCAAGTCAGTTGAGAGGGCCAGGAAGGAAGTCCCAGTGATGAGCTGCAGGGGAAAGAAGGAGAGCACGTGCAAAGCTGCCAGGCAAAATCTCCAGTGGCCCCAGCTGCTATATATCTTCCCTTTCGGAAACATACACTGGTACTCAGGGCAAGTATTTGAACATTCTTTAGGCTGCAGTGTCTGCTCAGGGCATCTCATCATACTGGTGTCCTATAGACTGTCTTTAGTGAGGTGTTACATGCGTGTCAGATCTAGAAACCACCCTAGGGATTTCCTACTTGGACTTCCCCTTTCTATTGATGTAGAAGAAGAGGCAGGTAAGTGACGTGGCTGGCCCGAATTCACTTAGAACTGAAACTGTGTCTCAGTGAAGTTATCTTTTTGCTTTCCATGCTATGTCTCATTCTAGGTTTCCTGGGGCCTTAGCTACTTCGTGACCAGAAGGAGAAGAATGGTGGGGAACTATCTAATACTGGAAGAGAAAGTGGTGTGTGTGTGTGTGTGTGTGTGTGTGTGTGTGTGAGAGAGAGAGAGAGAGAGAGAGAGAGAGAGAGAGAGAGATGGGGAGAATGGATGGACACTGGGAGTGAAGAAAAAAGTGATTGCTTCTCCAACTTTGCATGTTCTGGCACAGAATGATAAATCCATGGAGGTGTTACGTGATGCAATGTACAAAAAGCTTTGGAAGTGATATCGTCTTGCCAGACTCAGCTAGTCACAGGCTTCTAATTAGGGACAAAAATCGGGAATATTGAATCTAGCTCCAGATATGAAGGAGACCTTGTGGAAGGAGAAGTTATTAACTCCCCCAAGGAAGTGATTTGGGCAAATGTTGCTTCTAGTGAGTCAACCTCTCCCTATTCAAGACAAGACTTGGCAGCTGAATGAGAGTGACAATCTTTTGTCTTTGCAGTCCTACTACTTTGGAGAGATCAGCATTGGGACACCACCACAAAATTTCCTGGTCCTCTTTGATACGGGCTCCTCCAACCTGTGGGTGCCCTCCACCTACTGCCAGAGCCAGGCCTGCTGTGAGTATACCACCTTCACCACCCACCCATAGATAGGAGAAGAGGGTGGGGCAGAGTCAGAATTGATCACAAACTCAGCATCAAAGTCCCAAGTTCCCGGTGCATACCCTTGATCTCATCCTCCTTAAATTCAGACCATCTAGAAATCTTGCCTTGGTCTAGATTTCACTAGTAGTACAGTTCTGGAGAGAGACCGCAGAAATAGACCAAGGCTTCCATTCCTTTCTACATTGTTCCCTTTCCTCAGCTTTCTCCTATTGGCCCCAATTCCTGGCACTTTTGTGTTGAGCAATCCCTTAGGAAATGGAAGGAATTGGGGCAGCATCTGTTTGCTAAGGGGACAGTCTTTTCGGGGCCACAGATTGTCTCCAGCATAAAGGATCTGAGGCTGAGGCCCAATCTCAGGGTTGGTCTGATGGTCTTAGGCCATCAAAGATAGATGTCCCCCAAGTTTTTTGGAAAGTATATTGACATTAACATTCCATTCTAATCTTACACAGCCAATCACAACAGGTTCAACCCCAGCAGATCCTCCACCTACCAAAGCAGCGAGCAAACCTATACACTGGCCTATGGTTTTGGCAGCCTGACTGTGCTCCTGGGATATGACACTGTGACTGTGAGTGCTGTTCTCATACTTCTGTGGGTCTGCTCTTTGGTTCCCCTTTTCTAGAGCCTTCATCTATCAGAGAGTCTCACGATTACTAAATAGGTACAAATTCCCAGAAGCTAATTGTGGGAAAGGATGCCAAGGCCATCTAATTAAACCTTTTTCCCAAAACAAAAATTGCCACCTCTCCCCCAAGCAGTCCTGATCGCAGCAGACTCTTTACATTGTGCTTCCCTGTGACTGTGTTCCGTGGTCTTAACGTGCCCTCTGCAGCCACATGGAGTACATCTGCTTTCTCTTCCACATGATTTTACTCTAGGTATTTGAAGACTTTCCTTTCAGTATTTTCTTTTTTTTACATCAATCACCCACAGTTTCTATGTCATTTGTGCAGGTGGATTGTTCAATATAAAACCTGCCACTGTCCTTTCACTGTCCATGGAAGTGGAAACTAACTGCACAACACTTTCTCAATACTTGCACTCTTCTTTCCAAGACACACATCACTGAATGATGCTCTTGTTCTTTCATCTTACATACCCTACCCCATGATTGTGCTAATTGTGAATGAAGCCAACCTCCTCTCCCAAAAAAGGGTCCTCTCCCAATAAAGTTTTTTTTTTCCAATAAAGGGTCTTGATTCCATTCTCTGGGCACCTACGTCTGGGAAGGATTTGCCCCCTGAATTGTCAATCTTTTCTTTCTGATTGCCCCAGGTTCAGAACATTGTCATCCATAACCAGCTATTTGGCATGAGTGAGAATGAACCCAACTACCCATTTTACTATTCATATTTTGATGGTATCCTGGGAATGGCCTACTCCAACCTGGCAGTAGATAATGGCCCAACAGTCCTGCAGAACATGATGCAGCAGGGCCAGCTCACCCAGCCCATCTTCAGTTTCTATTTCTCTCGGTGAGTACCCTTGCCCTGGGTAGTTTTCAGCAAATGAGGTGCTGTGTGTGCCTTCAGGGCTGAGGTCTCAAAGTTTCCTGATACAATGAGTAGAAGTTGCTCTATGAAATTCATGCATCTCTGAAATTTTATTATTTCATTTTGGAGGGAATTTTACTTTAAATAAACTAGAAGTATTTTCAATTCAGGCCATAAACTATAAGATGATTCTTTTCTTTAAAATGAACTATAGTGTCTCAGATTTTGATGAATAAATTTAAAGTTATTTCATTAGTTTTGTACAATTGTAGAGCTATAGAACAAGCCTGGTGATAACTTGCTAGGAAAGAGAACAACAATGAAATGATATAGCAATATATGTCTGACTTTCCAAAGTGTTCTCATAGTAATAACGTCAAATGACATCTCAAAAATTCTGTTGGATTCTTTTTGCCAGAAAAGGAATTCAGGCTCAAACATGTGATCTATGTCAAGGTCACCCATTAACTCAATGGTAGATATGAAGCCATGACTCAAATGCGAATATCTTGGTCACAAATCCAGTACTCTTCCTACTCTACTAGCCTTGAGCTTTCATGGCAAACTTTACTCACTGAATCTTTTTCCTGAACAACAATCCTCAGGGTGCTTGGTCCAAATGTCTTTCTTCAGTGAGTGGCAGGCCCAGGGTAGGGGAGAGAAGAGACCCAAATCCTTTTAATACTGTCTACTTATGAACTTTAAAAAATATTTTGTTTATTTATTAGAGAGCATGAGCAGCAGGGGGGCAGAGGGAGAGGGAGAAGCAGACTCCTCATGGAGCAGGGAGCCTGATGCAGGGTTCAATTCCAGGATACCAGGTTTGTGACCTGAACCCCAAAGGCAGACATTTAACCAACTGAGCCAGCCAGGCACTGTGTCTAGTTACCAACATGAGCATGACAGGAGTATCCTCTTGACTGCACACTAGATCTCATTCTCTCTCTCTCTCTCTCTCTCTCTCTCTCTCTCTCTCTCTATCAGCCCCCATCCCAGGTGCTCCCTGAGGTATTTCTTCTTTTCTCACTCTGTCCCCAGGAGAGTTTCCCTGGAATGCTTTGATAGTTTGTTTTCACAGGCCTAGTTTCCAATTCCATCTCCTCTTTTATGGGAATAGTCTGTGTTTCCAGTTCTCTGATACTCTGGGTGTTCCTCTGAGGAGCCTCTTCTCCCTTGTGCCTTGAGCCTGGTAGAGTCTGAGAGCAGGTCAGAGGATGATACCCCTTGTGCTGTGGTTCCTCTGTGTCTGAAAGACAGAGGGATAGTTAAAGCGGAGGGAGGAGCTGCCTGAAACTATGTGAGTTATGGGAAGAACTTGTGCTCTTCTCCTTTTCTCCCCAGCCAACCAACCTATGAGTATGGTGGAGAGCTCATCCTGGGAGGTGTGGACACACAGTTTTATTCTGGTGAGATCGTCTGGGCTCCAGTCACTCGGGAAATGTACTGGCAGGTTGCCATCGATGAGTAAGTACAGAGGAAAATTCCTATGGATTGTGGATACCCCTAGGGTGTTCCTCCAGTGTGACAATATTTCCTGTTCTTGCATTGGCACAAACTTCGTAAAGAATCAGCAAATCCTCATGCTCATTATTCCAGGAGCTCAGTAGACTCTGGCATCTAGCTCTAGACTAAACTTTTTTTTAATTAATTGATTTTTATTGGTGTTCAATTTACCAACATACAGAATAACACCCAGTGCTCATCCCGTCAAGAGTCCCCCTCAGTGCCCGTCACCCATTCACCCCCACCTCCCGCCCTCCTCCCCTTCCACCACCCCTAGTTCGTTTCCCAGAGTTAGGAGTCTTTATGTTCTGTGTCCCTTTCTGATATTTCCCACACATTTCTTCTCCCTTCCCTTATTTTCCCTTTCACTATTATTCATATTCCCCAAATGAATGAGAACATACACTGTTTGTCTTTCTCCGATTGACTTACTTCACTCAGCATAATACCCTCCAGTTCCATCCACGTTGAAGCAAATGGTGGGTATTCGTCGTTTCTAATGGCTGAGTAATATTCCATTGTATACATAAACCACATCTTCTTTATCCATTCGTCTTTCGATGGACACCGAGGCTCCTTCCACAGTTTGGCTATTGTGGACATTGCTGCTATAAACATTGGGGTGCAGGTATCCCGGCGTTTCATTGCATCTGTATCTTTGGGGTAAATCCCTAACAGTGCAATTGCTGGGTCGTAGGGTAGGTCTATTTTTAACTCTTTGAGGAACCTCCACACAGTTTTCCAGAGTGGCTGCACCAGTTCACATTCCCACCAACAGTGTAAGAGGGTTCCCTTTTCTCCGCATCCTCTCCAACATTTGTTGTTTCCTGCCTTGTTAATGTTCCCCAATCTCACTGGTGTGAGGTGGTATCTCATTGTGGTTTTGATTTGTATTTCCCTGATGGCAAGTGATGCAGAGCATTTTCTCATGTGCATATTGGCCATGTCTATGTCTTCCTCTGTGAGATTTCTCTTCATGTCCTTTGCCCATTTCATGATTGGATTGTTTGTTTCTTTGCTGTTGAGTTTAATAAGTTCTTTATAGATTTTGGAAACTAGCCCTTTATCTGATATGTTATTTGCAAATATCTTCTCCCATTCTGTAGGTTGTCTTTGAGTTTTGTTGACTGTATCGTTTGCTGTGCAAAAGCTTCTTATCTTGATGAAGTCCCAATAGTTCATTTTTGCTTTTGTTTCTTTTGCCTTCATGGATGTATCTTGCAAGAAGTTACTGTGGCCAAGTTCAAAAAGGGTGTTGCCTGTGTCTCCTCTAGGATTTTGATGGAATCTTGTCTCACATTTAGATCTTTCATCCATTTTGAGTTTTTCTTTGTGTATGGTGCAAGAGAGTGGTCTAGTTTCATTCTTCTGCATGTGGATGTCCAATTTTCCCAGCACCATTTATTGAAGAGACTGTCTTTCTTCCCATGGATAGTCTTTCCTCCTTTATCGAATATTAGTTGACCATAAAGTTCAGGGTCCACTTCTGGGTTCTCTAATCTGTTCCATTGATCTATGTGTCTGTTTTTGTGCCAGTACCACACTGTCTTGATGACCACAGCTTTGTAGTACAACCTGAAATCTGGCATTGTGATGCCCCCAGCTATGGTTTTCTTTTTTAAAATTCCCCTGGCTATTCGGGGTCTTTTCTGATTCCACACAAATCTTAAAATAATTTGTTCTAAGTCTCTGAAGAAAGTCCATGGTATTTTGATAGGGATTGCATTAAACGTGTAAATTGCCCTGCGTAACATTGACATTTCCACAATATTAATTCTTCCAATCCGTGAGCATGGAATATTTTTCCATCTCTTTGTGTCTTCCTCAATTTCTTTCAGAAGTGTTCTATTGTTTTTAGGGTATAGATCCTTTGCCTCTTTGGTTAGGTTTATTCCTAGGTATCTTATGCTTTTGGGTGCAATTCTAAATGGGATTGACTCCTTAATTTCTCTTTCTTCAGTCTCATTGTTAGTGTATAGAAATGCCATTGATTTCTGGGCATTGATTTTGTATCCTGCCACGCTACCAAATTGCTGTATGAGTTCTAGCAATCTTGGGGTGGAGGCTTTTGGGTTTTCTATGTAGAGTATCATGTCATCGGCGAAGAGGGAGAGTTTGACTTCTTCTTTGCCAATTTGAATGCCTTTAATGTCTTTTTGTTGTCTGATTGCTGAGGCTAGGACTTCCAATACTATATTGAATAGCAGTGGTGAGAGTGGACATCCCTGTCTTGTTCCTGATCTTAGGGGAAAGGCTCCCAGTGCTTCCCCATTGAGAATGATATTTGCTGTGGGCTTTTCGTAGATGGCTTTTAAGACGTCGAGGAATGTTCCCTGTATCCCTACACTCTGAAGAGTTTTGATCAGGAATGGATGCTGTATTTTGTCAAATGCTTTCTCTGCATCTAATGAGAGGATCATGTGGTTCTTGGTTTTTCTCTTGCTGATATGATGAATCACATTGATTGTTTTACGAGTGTTGAACCAGCCTTGTGTCCCGGGGATAAATCCTACTTGGTCATGGTGAATAATTTTCTTAATGTGTTGTTGGATCCTATTTAGACTAAACTTTTTGACTTGTCATTGAGCCTTGTCATGCCAGCAGGTGGTCATTCCTAGACTTCTGTGAACCCATGTCTTTGTTCCCTGAAGCTTCATTATCTCAAGTAGCACAATCTTTATCAAGTCCTTCATAAGTAAGAGTAACAGCTGCCATCGATGTTTTCTATGTGCCAGATACTGTGCTAAATATTATATATATATTATTGTATGTGTATTTCACTGCAGCACTATAAGGTGGTCAGTAGTATATTTCATTGCACAGATAAAGAAATCAGGGCTCAGAGGTTAAGTAACTTATCCAAAGTCATACATTTCACAAATTTCCAAATTTGAGCCCAGGGATCTGATCCCATAGCTCAGGACTATGACTCAGTTACTTCTACACTCCAGGCCTTCAGGAAATCTCCATCACTGCCAATTAAAGATACACTTCTTTGGCCTATACTCAAGACCATATATAACAGCGGGGCACTTCCTACGGGTACAGCCTTCCCACCACTTCCTCATGTGCAGCACAGACTTCACCATGTCCTTGCACCTCGCCATGACTTTCTTGCTGCTTCTCTTTTGACTATATCACCTGAAGTGCCCCCCTCATGTCCTGGGTGCATCCTTCTGAGCCCAGATGAAGTCCTCTCTCCCTCGAAAAGGTCTCTTAGGGGCTCAATCTCTCTTTCAGTCCCATAGTATTACTGGCGTGTATCCCAACTTGTATCTCCTCATTTCAGGGTAGCCACAGGGACACCAGCCCAATGTGCATGAATAGACAGGGAGATAAGCAGTTGAATATCTGGCAAGTAGTTTTCTGTGCCTGGAATAGAGGGGTCTTGTCACTTGGACCAATGGCACTCACCCTTTAAGCATCTCTTCTCTGAAAAATCCTTGTCTGACCGAGTACTTCTCACACCCATAGTAGATCAAGTCCCCTCTTCTCTGGCCTCCTTATTTTTTTCATGGCACTCACCAGGACTACAATTAAGTACCATTTGTGTGTTTCTGTTAGGTTTGTGGTGTCTATCTTGTTCACCATTATATCCAAGTGCCTTGATTCACCAACAGTGCTCAAAATATAAATGGAGTGAAGAGGAAGGGTAGAGCTGCAGAAAAAACTGAATGAGGAATCGGGAACTGAATCACATAGGACTAGATTATGGAGATTATCAGCTGCTGTCCTATTGTGTTGTGCCTCATGTACGGTGTTGTCTCATGTCATTAGAATGCAGTCTTTGAACACAGTGAATACAATTTACTCCTCTTTATATCATCATAATTCTTTTAAGAGTGCCTTGTACATAGTAAATGGCCAATGTGTATTTATTAAGTGATTACCAGTGGTAGTTACATTTGGCACTATGTTCTGGGCCTCATATAGGCAGAGTAAAGAGGATAAGACACAGTCCCTACCTCCCCAGTGCTTTCAGTCAGAGCTGGAGGGGTTACCAGAGCAAAACTGAGAATATTACTCCAATAGTCACAAAGACACAGAATTATTACATGGAATACAGTGTCAAGATATAGCCTGGTTTTTTGGAAGTGGCATATTTTCAGAGCTGTAGGGTTGGGACATTGGGGTGAATGTCAGACTTATTTATGGCAAAAGTGCCTGACCCTCTCTTTAAAAAAAAAGATTGAAAGATGAATGGATAAAGAAGATGTGGTTTATGTATACAATGGAATATTACTCAGCCATTAGAAATGACAAATTCCCACCATTTGCTTCAACGTGGATGGAACTGGAGGGTATTATGCTGAGTGAAGTAAGTCAATCGGAGAAGGACAAACATTATATGGTCTCATTCATTTGGGGAATATAAATGATAGTGAAAGGGAATAAAGGGGAAAGGAGAAAAAATAAGTGGGAAATATCAGAAAGGGAGACAGAACATGAAAGACTCCTAACTCTGGGAAATGAACTAGGGGTGGTGGAAGGAGAGGTGGGCGGGGGGTGGGGGTGACTGGGTGACGGGCACTGAGGTGGGCACTTGATGGGATGAGCACTGGGTGTTATTCTATATGTTGGCAAATTGAACAGCAATAAAAAATAAATTTATAACAAATAAATAAAAATTAAAAATAAAATAAAAATAAATAAAAAATAAAATAAAAATAAAGATTGAATGATTTCAGAGAGAGAGAGAGAGAGAGAGAGAGAGCAGGGTTAAGGGGCAGAGGGTGAAGAGAATCCCATGCAGACTCCACACTGAGCATGGAGCCTGATGCAGGGCTCAATTTCCTTTTTTTGAAAGCACAAACAAGGCCAGTTTATTTTACACAGACTCCCGAAGTAGTTAATATGGGAAACAGCAGGCTAGTCATTAAAACCCTCTCTGGGGTTAGTTCATTCAGCACACATCTCATTCACGCTCACGAGGCCAAAACGAGGTCAAAATGAGCACAAATCAAGCCCTGGAGAAGAATCCAGGCCATGGGCAGTGTCTCCAAGCTATGGATCCCAATTTCCCTAAAATAGCTCAGCAGATTCCAGTGAAGGTAAGAGAACTTTATTTTGATAAAAATGTCCTCTTGAAGCCGGCCCTTTCTCCCATCACTAGAAAGCAGCCTTATCTGTAAAAAAGCAATCCATTTGTTTAGACATACTCTTTTTAGGCAACTTTTTAACTTTTTCCACCGGCGTAGGACCACTCTGTACCTTTCACTTTCCGTTTTCCTCCAACACTTTTTTCAGAAGAACTCTCATGACTGTCTCTGTTTCAGCTTCTTTATCCTCTCCAATTAGAAGATCCAATGTATCTCCCACTTTCACCATTCTGCTTTTCTTCCATAATTTTTCCCCATTCAGCCTGAGTTCACCTTTGTAGAATGCATCTTCCACTTTGTTTCTTCTGTCTTTAGGATAACATCATACCAGAAAGACTGCACTACTTTTTCCAGGTCTTTATAGTCTTTGACCACACTGGGGTCATTCTCGAGCTCCTCTTCCTGCTCACTCATCTCACGATCACTCTCTTCATCAGAGTCCTCTTCCTCTTTGGCCAGGGCTCAATTTCCTGACGCTGAGGTCACGACCCAGACTAAAACCAGTCAGTCTCTTAACTGACTGTGTCACCCAGTTATCCCTAGAAACACCTGACTCTTTTTGTATTGGTGTTCCCCTCAGGTTTCTCATCGGTAACCAGGCCACTGGCTTGTGCTCTCAGGGCTGTCAAGGCATCGTGGATACAGGAACCTTCCCACTGACTGTTCCTCAGCAGTACTTGGACACCTTTGTGAAGGCAACAGGAGCCCAGCAAGATCAAAGTGGCAATGTGAGTACCCAGAAGAAAGGTTCCTTGCACATCCGGGCAGCCTCAGCATAGGAGCCTGAGTGGAATGAGTTCATGAGAGACAGGAGGAAGAAGTGGTAGAGAACTGTCCCCCTGGTCAGATATAACAGGTGGGGAACACCATGTTCTTTCAATCATGAACCTTCAATGCAAGAATGGGTATGGGGAGGGAATAATACCAACTCCATACCATAAGTATGGGCTGAATGGTTGTCAAGAGGGGTGACTATTCCTGGGCAGGCCTTACGAACACATCTCACCTTGACGTGGCCACTGTCATTTGACTATATGCAACAGAGCCAGGCATATTCCATTTGTCCATTCCACTTGGGATTTTTTCTTGTCTAGGAGTTCTCCTTTGGCTTTTACTCTGAGCAGCCTCCTGTGCCTATCCCAGATCCCTTTATATACACTTCTGTAGTTTGATCCTCCTGCATGCAAGAGTCTAGTATAGTCAGACTAAATCTTGGTTCTTCAGGGTGTGTGTGTGTGTGTGTGTGTGTGTGTAGTACATTGACAGGTGCACACAAGCGTGGGTATGAATTTTCAAAAGCACACTTCCACAGGGTGTGCCCATGCTTCTCTGTAAGTGGTACATTCTGGCAGTAGAATCCTGTGATCTGAAAAGAGTCTAACTAATTATGGCCATAAAAGTACAACCAAGATCTTGGAATCTTGGAGCTGAGATGTGTCCAAGGAGGCCCAGGAAAGCGGAAGCACCTGGTCAGTGTTGTGCCTATGAATTAGGCTTTGCCTTCCATTCTCTCAACCAACCTCTGCTGGAAAGTCAGGAAGCTGGCTTCACTGGGAAAGGGGACCTCAGTCCTCTGCCACTCTACAGTTCTGCTTATCTTCTCTCTCAGTTTGTGGTCAACTGCAACTCCATACAGAGCATGCCCACCATCACCTTTGTCATCAGCGGGTCACCTTTACCTCTGCCTCCATCTACCTATGTTCTTAATGTATGTATGTACCCCAGGCTCCATGAATATGGGATTGGATGACCCAAAATGCCATTCTGTGTCCCAGCTCACATCTGGGCACCTATGGGAAGTCATCAGTGGCAGGGCTGAGGGTGAACAAGAGGCCAGAGACCCTATAGGTGTCATGGAATATAGGGTGGGAAGTTCCTGTGGGGAAAGGCCTTTCCATTTACCTGGTTATATCCTCATGTTCTTTGTATTTTCAGAACAATGGCTACTGCACACTTGGGATTGAGGTCACTTACCTGCCCTCCCCCAATGGGCAGCCTCTGTGGATTCTGGGAGATGTCTTCCTCAGGGAATATTACACAGTCTATGATATGGCTGCCAACAGAGTGGGTTTTTCGTTCTCTTCCTAGACTAGCAAAAGGTAGCTGTCTCCATCCTCCCAGAAGGACTCTGGGGTTGTCCTACTGTTTCTCTGGGCTGATAGCAGCATTTTGGACTATCTGACCCTTCTGTGCACTAGTCTTTTTTTCCTGTAACTAATAAATTAAGAATCTCCAAACATCCTTGCTGTACTTTCCAAATGTCTTGTGTTCTGCTTATAGTAGTTTCTTCTAAATTGAAAGTTAGCAATAGCTCTTTGGGGGATCTGTTAATTCACCAATGGGAAAGGACATGGAGCAAAGGTTTCTGAGTGAGGACGCACAGCACAGACATTAAGGACACAGTAGTACCTACATGAGGTACTCTCGTAGAGGTGGCCAGTCCTCCCAGCACTGGCACTTCCAACACATTTTTCACTCCATTCTTAGAAAAGAATGTGAAACAGAGTAGTCTCTAACTCAAGAATATTAAAGAAGAAAAAAGTAACCTTAGAGAATGTTTCAAACTGGCTCTCTGAGGAAGCAGATCAGAAAATGGTAGTTTTTCTTGAAGGGAGTAGCACATTTTTAATGAATAGTTTCTGGTATTTTCACAGACCCCATTCCTGCCTGCTTAATACAGATGGTCTCAAGCTGTTCGCATATACAATTCACCCGCCTGGTCCTGAAAGTTTTTGAGTTTTGAAACCCAGTCTCATTTTACAGTATAAGAAGGAGAGGCACAGACCTGTTATCATACAGTTAGTGTTAAAATCAGATCCAAAACTGTGCATTAAACATTTTTTAATTCTGTTATATAATAAACTCTGCTACATGTTAGCCATGGGGGCACACAATTACAAATGAGGCATGGCGTTGGCACACTAGGAATTTTCTAGCAAGTACAACATATTGCTTTTGAGCATGTTTCCTGTCTGAAGTAAGCCCAGTAGCTGAACTCGCATTCCATAATAGGTTATGAACAATCATCTGCAGTGGTTTCTTCTTTTTTTTTAATTAATTAATTAATTAATTAATTAATGATAGTCACAGAGAGAGAAAGAGAAAGAGGCAGAGACATAGGTAGAGGGAGAAGCAGACTCCATGCACCGGGAGCCTGACGTGGGATTCGATCCCGGGTCTCCAGGATTGCGCCCTGGGCCAAAGGCAGGCGCCAAACCACTGCGCCACCCAGGGATCCCTGCAGTGGTTTCTTCTAATGCAGTAATGCTGCCTTTATGGAGTTAAAAACTGGTATCGCTCTGGGGTTCAAACTTGTTTCAAGAAATGTAATTAGAAGGACATACCTGGAAAGAAAGATGCAAAGAATTCTCAACCCAGATGTGTGTGGGTGGTGGTGGTGGATGGAGGTATCCATTTTCTACACTGTTGCATCATTCCCCTCCACCAACCCATAACGAAGTTGATCTTAAGGAGTTGGGTAATGTCTGCACTTTGGCCATTCCTTTTTCTTTCTGTTGTGTTTCTTTTATGGGAGAGATGGCCTTTTTTTGGTCAGAGAGAAGGGAGCTCAGTTCAGCCCCAATTCACCTGCATTCTCATCCCTGCCCTGTCAGCCACTGTTCCTGCCTCAGTATCACCTCTATTCATGCTCTGGTGGTTGGCCGCAACTATAGAGTGCAAAGATCTTGAGATGGAGATATGATTGCTCGAAACTCTCATGAGTAAGCTGAAATTCATCAGCAGGGACTGTCCTCATCCACTGGAGCAACATAAGGTATTGGTAAAGCCAAAGCTAGAAATTCTCTGCTCCTGGATTCTAGAAACTAGCAACCAAGAGCAGCTCTCCACAGCTTATGGTCTATTCCACCTTGTCTATCATTGTAGGATGGGGACAAGATTTATTAATATGTGATTGTTTCCCACCTTCCCACTCTGTCCCCATCACACTAATAAAGATCTTGTCTGTCTGATTCCTGTTTCTTATGTTATATGTATACAGACTGAGGGACTGGAGAAGGAGAGAGAGAGAGAGAGAGAGAGAGAGAGAGAGAGAGAGAGAGAGAGAAAGAGAGAGGCCACTAGGTCAAAAAAGGTAAAAAGAAGGAGGAGTAAATGAGATTTTTAAAAAGCTGGAAGGGCACTTGATGGGGATGAGCACTGGGTGTTATTCTATATGTTGGCAAATTGAACACCAATAAAAAATAAATTTATAAAAAAAGATCTGGAAGGCAACAGGGGAAAAAGAAGGAATAGAAATTATGGGTGGGGGAGACGAAAATAGAAACTTAGAATTTGGAATTTCTTGGGGGAGATGTTCCACACCAACATATCTGGGGGAGCATGTAGGAGGAAGATTTTGAGAAAAGTTGCATATACTTAAAAATTAGGATTTTTTTTTAAAAAATTGAGAGATTGATTTAGAGGGCACGAGTAGAGGGAGGGATGAAGGGAGATGGAGAGAATTTCAGGCAGATTTTCCTCTGAGCACAGAGCCCACGAGGGGCTTATCCAAGACCCTGAGATCATGGCCTGAGCTAAAATTAAGAGTCAGATGGACACTCAACTGACTGAGCCACCCTAGACCCCACAGATGAGAGACTTTTTAATGTTCTGCAAGAGACAAAAAAGATTGGAATTCCTTTTAAATTATTTTTGGCAGATATAATGTGGTTTTTAAATGTAATTCATGCAGAAAGTGGCCACATGGACCCTAGTCTATGTTTGGGTTATACTTGTAAAAGTATTCTAGAGCTTTTATTTCTTATGTCATCACTACTTATGAAATATCATTCATTTGTTCATAAAGTATTTATTGAACTGTCTTTGTGTAAGTAAAATCTTCCCTGGTCCTTGACATCCTTTTGCATCTCCTCTGCCTACCCTCTCAACAGCTATGAGAGGTAACTACTGCTCCTTTCCTCCTCCCACAGCACTTTGTACCTCTGACATTGCACTACACAATGCACTGTATTTTACCCATTGCACATCTGTCTCCCCAACTCAATTATGATCTAGAGGAAAGAGACTTTATTATTCTCTTTAAGTCCCCAGATCTGACGTGTCCTCTGATAACAAGTGCTTAGCAATTATATACCACCAAATTCATGATGATACAAGTGACATAAATGCTGTTACAGTGAATGGTGCCCGACAGTGGCAGGAAAGAGGAAGGTATCACAAAGGAAAGCATGTTAGATTTCATCTTGAACTATATGCAGGAGGGACTCACTGAGTAGAAAAAGTTAGAAAAGGGATCTCATGCAGAAATCAGCATAAGAACAGCAAAGGGGCTGGAGAATTTGTGTAAACAGCGAGTGGCAGGATGTCTCAACTGGCTGGACACAAGGCACCTGAGAGGATAGCAGGAAATGAGGCATCCAAGGTGGGTTGTGGCCAGATGGGAAGGGTCTTGCTAAGTGTCTGGACTTGATTCTCCAGTCAAGGGGTCCCATAACGGGTTTTAGCGGAGGAGAGACCTAAGATATTTGAGGTAGAGGGCTCTGCTGGCAGGGCTCCTCTGCTGTTGACCAGCCCTCCGCTGGGGTCCCCCAGAAACTCAACTCCAGATAGATGCATAGCCTTTGTTCCCTGTGGAGCATCTGCTCTAGAACTCTGGACATTTTCTTAGGCTCATAATCATAGCTGAAAGACCTAAACAGAAATGAAAGACCCCTGTGTATCTGACCCAGATATGATATCAGAATTCAAAGAGTGAGGTTCTCTGTGGGTTGCTAGAAAGTGCTAAAGGAACAAAATACAACATTTCAAAGACCTAGAGGTGTGTTCCAGCAATTCAGGCATCCCCTGAATACATCTAGACTTGGGCCCTGCTTCTGTAGCTTCTGGACCAGTAGATGAGGTTATTTCAATTCCTGCTGTATCCCCAGTCCCTGCCATTGTGCCTGACACATGGTTGGAACTCATTTTATATGTTAAGTGACAAGTGACATAGATGAGGGATTGGGAGATATGGATATTTTTTTAATACTTTATTTGAGAGAGGAGAGGCAAGATGGTGGATGAGTAGGGTCTCCAAATCACCTGTCCCCACCAAATTACCTAGATAACCTTCAAATTATCCTGAAAAATCTGTGAGTTCGGCCTGAGATTTAAAGAGAGAACAGCTGGAATTCTACAGTGAGAAGAGTTCGCGCTTCTATCAAAGTAGGAAGACGGGGGCGGGGGGGGGGGGAGAAATAAAGAAACAAAAGGCATCCAAGGGGGAGGGGCCCCACGAGGAGCTGGACTAAGGCCAGGGCGAGTGCCCCCAGGACAGGAGAGCTCCATCTCGGAGAAGCAGGAGCTGCACCAATCTTCCCGGGCGGAAAGGCCTCGCAGGGATTTGGAGCAGGACCCCAGGAGGGAGGGGATGCCCTCAGGCTCCCTGGGACTGTAACACAGGAACTGCGCCCCGGGGAGAGTGCGCCGAGCTCCCTGAAGGGCTGCAGCGCGGATGGCTGGACCCGGGAGCAGCTTGGAGGGGCTCGGGGGGCGGCTCCACGGAGAGGGGGCTGCACGGCCTGGGAGCAGCTCGGAGGGACTCGGCAGAGGAAGAGGCTCCGTGCGGGGGGGCTGCGCGTCTCCGGGAGCAGCTTGGAAGGGCTCGGGCGGCGGCTCCACGGAGGGGTCTGCGCAGCCGGGAGCACGAATCCAGCAGCGCAGGCCCGGGAACAATGGGCGCCGGGACACAGCCCAGGATCCGGCCTCCCTCCAGGAGAGGCAGAGGCCAGGAGGGCACAGGACGGAGAGGACGCTCCTGCCCTGAGCTGAGCAGATCAGCGGCCCCACCCTGGAGCCTCCAGGCCCTGCCCACAGAGAGCTCCGTAGTTACTGTGGGAGCTGACTCCAGGGCTAGAGAGCTGGCCGCCATCACTGTGGTTGTTCCTCCTGGGGCCTCACAGGGTAAACAACCCCCACTGAGCCCTGCACCAGGCAGGGGGCAGAGCAGCTCCCCCAAGTGCTAACACCTGAAAATCAGCACAACAGGCCCTTCCCCCAGAAGACCAACTAGACGGACAAGTTCCAGGGGAAGTAAAGGGACTTAAAGTATACAGAATCAGAAATACTCCCCGTGGTTGTTTTTGTTG